CCTAGCTGAACCAGGGGAACATGTATTCAAGATGCCGGCCCTCCTCGGCTCAGCTCATGACACTTTAGGGAAATAACACATCTCAACAGACATTACCTTAGTCTTTGTCTAGTTTCCGCCATGTCCCTGTAAAGTCCTTACACCAAGGAAGGTCAAAGGCTTTTTCCTCACTTGGAAAATTTTCCAAGAAAATTCTCTGAAGTTTCTCCTACTTTTCCTTAGTGTGATGGCTCTTCTTGGTTGTCAGCTTGGCTGAATCTGGAATGAACTACAATCCAGAAATGAAGGGCACACCTGTGGGAGGTTTTCTGCTTGATTTGAAGTGGGTCAATCCACTTATAGTCCAGATTTTGAGTTAGGAAGACACATACCTTTGATTTGAATCTTGAGGCAGGAAGACATACCTTAATTTGGGCCACACCTTCTGTTGGAAGTCTATATAGGACAGGGAAGAAGGAAGCTTTTGCTTTTTACCTGCTTGCTCTCAGCTTGCTTGCACATCCATTCCTTCACTGGCATTGGAGACTATGTCTTCAGGATTCCAGCATATATAGAAGACCAGCTGAGACACCCAGTCTCATGGGACTGAGCAACTAATAGATTATTGGGCTTTCTGTTCACAGCTAGTCATTTTTGGACCACAACCTGTAAGTCATCCCAATAAGTCTAACCTCTCTCTCATATATGAGATATATATGTATATATATATATGTATATACATATATATATATATATATATATGAGAGATTCATTTCATAAGTTCTATGACTCTAGAAAATCCTGATACACTTAGTTCTCACTTTGCCTTTCTTACTTTTCTGTCATGATTCCCAATAAAGCCTGCTTCAGCTTTGCTTACTCCCACAAGAGCCTACATCATTAACTTTGTGTGTGTGTGTGTGTGTGTGTGTGTCTGTCTGTCTGTCTGTCTGTCTGTGTATGTATATGTATGTTACAGCTCTTCTTGGCCAATGCTTCTAGAACTTCTCAATCCAACCTACCCTCTGAGGGCCTTGGAGAAAGAATGTAGTAGGAAATACATGCTTATAACAAAATACAGTATTTTCAAGACACTTTTCTTTGTTTATATCAACATTTCCCAGGAAGATCTAATAAACTGGTAGGAGAAAACCTACCGAGGTCTATGAATTAATACCAGCCAGTCATCTCCCAGTGGTAATTAATCTACTGACTATGAAGAGAACTGAGAGATGGAGATATGAGATGCAGTCAGTGAGAAATGGTTGCCAAGAAACTTGCACTACATCCTGAAGATTCAGAAATGGATAGAATGTCTAAGTAGATACCTAAATGAATTATTTAAATAGTTAAATAAATTTAAATAAATAATCAAATATGTGAATCTGGTATATTTAATCTAATACATAAGTCTAAAAATCTACATAAATGTAAATAAATAAACCAATTAAATACCTAAGTGAGGTCCTTAAGGAGCTTCCTTTCAGTTAACAGTGCATCCGATCACCCAAGCAAAGTCGTTCAGGATGAAATGTCATCGTACCATCTGGAGCCAAATGGAGGCCACTGTAAGGCTACACATTACAGACATTTTCATGCTCTGCTCTTGCTTACTCATCATTATCAGATTTATTTGGGAAATAAAAGCATTAGAACATACAAAGTAAAGAAAAAATATCATAGCTTCCGAGGACAGTTCTGTATCACAACCAAAATTGAAAATCATGTCACCATTTTCTGAAACAAAAGAGACCTTGTTGAAATTTTTGTCATTTTTCAAGTTCTTTTCCAAGACTTATAATTTCATAGTTTATTTGTACTTGCAGTTGTAGATTTCTGCTAACACAAAAGTGATATAAATTGTTCAAATAAAAAAATTCTGCATTTTCATTCCTTTTTAAAGTATAGTTTTAGTTGAAACAGAATTATAGCTTTTTCCCTTCTTCTTTTCCTCCAGCAGCTTCTAGGTGCCCTCCCTTCAACCTCTACCAATTCCTCCCCACCCTGAAGTTGATAGCTTCTTTATCTTTCATAATTATTGTTACATACATATGTATGTACACAGAAAAGAAAATTAGCCTCTCCCAGGGCATCGCCCCATTATTGGTTGTCAAACCCAAAATAGTCAGCCCTGAAATTATGTCTGACTGTGTGTGTGTGTGTGTGTGTGTGTGTGTGTGTAAATGGACTCAGCAGGTTGGATTTTCAATATTTTCACACTTTAAATTCACTTTAAAAGATCAAGCATTCTTTAAATATGCTTCCTTCTACTTTAGTTATTATAAGCCCCATTGAGTTAGAGATGCTCCAAAGGTTAGTTCATTCATACTTATTGATGATTTTTTGAAATAATTCACTTAAAATATTATGGAAGATGCCTTCCATAAGCATACGTGTAGCATTAATGACAGTTCCTTCACATATAAAAACTTTACTAGTGATTATTTGTTATTTTGGAGTCTGAAATGGAACCTGGCATTTAGTGCCACCTGCTCGGCCTCAGGTATGTCCTCCAGGAATGTAACAGTATCATGTGCCAAATTCTATCTTGGTTGGCCATATTCCACCTTTCCAATGACCATCTGATACCAAAGACCACTGTGTCATATGCAGAAGCTTTTTATATTAAGTAGAACTTTCCAAGACTTCTAAAACTGAAGACTAGTCTAAGGATATGATACTTACATCTCACAACTCGGCTGCAAATAGTACCAGTGAGTCTGAAAACTGTACCAAGTTTTTAGTTAGACAGTGAGGGATAGACATATCCTTCACAATGTAAATGTTTTTTATCCCAGAGAGTGAAAAAATTATTTCCTATTTCATCTTTACTACCAAATTTTGTTTCTAGTTTTTTAAAACAGTGTTATGCATAAATGTAAGCCTTTGATACCTTGGGAGCTTTTATTTGGGGAAAGATATCCAGAGAAGGAAAAGTGAGTGTAGGAGGGTTTTAGGCTTGGAAAGAGCTGTGTGGCAAAAAAAAAATGGAGAGTGGTCTACTTTGCAGAGTGAATGTTAGTCTAATTAAAGACAACTTTGGCCGTCTCACCCAACTAGAGCATGGTTGTCTTCTTTTATTTTTGCCTTTGCTATTTTTCTGCTACAGATAACCTTAAAAAGGGCGGTATCTTCCTTACCCAGATTCCTGCTCTCTGGAGACAGTTCAGGGATGGCTGAAATCTCACACTTGCGCTCTCTCTTTCATTTTTCTGTCCTGGTGTAAATGTTTACAGCTCCAGACAGGGTGACACGTTAGTTTTATCAGACAACTCTCAACTCCCTAGTTTGTTTTTTTGGTTTGTTTTGTTGTTGTTGGGGCTTTCGTTTTGTTTTGTTTTTTAGTTTTTTGAGGATTTCACTGCATAGCCCTAGATATCCTGGAGCTTTTCAGTATTCTACCATGAACCTAGACACCTGATTTCATTCATAAAAATCTTTTGTTTTATCAATGGACAAACAAGAGACTAAATCTGCTAATAAAACAAAGCAAGAGATATGATTGTGGGTAAATTAAGATGCTTGAGGCTTGCTCTCCATTTAGAGAGATTAACTGACAATGTATTCCTAAGGTACTTAGCATTTGAAAAACTCTAATGGTCACACTATGAATACCATATTTTCAATTTTTATTACTTACTTTTTTTTGAGACTGTAGCCCAGGCTTGTCTGTATTCACCATGTTGCCTCACACTAGCCTCAAATTCATAGCAATCCTGCTGGTTCCGGCTCCCCAGTACTGGGATTACACCAGCTACCACCTCTGACTAAAGCCAGTATCTTCCATAAGATTTATGTCTATGTTTTTAATTGTATGTGCATTTTTGTGCAGATGTGAGTGTGCCGTGGTGTGTGTGTGTGTGTTGTGTGTGTGTGTGTGTGTGTGTGTGTGTGTGTGTGTGTGTGATGTCATATCTGTGGAGGTCACATGACAACTGTGGGTCTTGGTCCTCATCTTTAACCTTCTTTGAGACAGAGTCTCTCATTTTGTTGCTGCTGGCTGCCCTGTGCTCCAGGCCTGTGAGCTTCTTGGGGAGAAGGATGCTCCTGTCTCGGCCAATTATCTTGCCATAGGAATGCTTACACATTATAGACAATGCTGTCCTAGGAATTTGCACTTGGGACCTTATGTTTGTGTGGCAAACGCTTTCCTCACTGATCCCATGCCTCAAACCCTAACTATAGTACCCTTCTTTTTTAAGTGATATAGTATTTTATTGCTCCTTGGGGAATTTCATACATATATTTAGTGTATTTTGATCGTATTCACTCCCCACTCCTCTAAGACCCATCCCCCCAACCTCCAACATCCTCTCCAAACTTCATGTCTTTATTTTTCAATAACTCACCAAGTCCTGTTTGTGCTTACCCTCATCAGAATGGAACCATCCCCTGGAGCTTGGTCAAGTTAACAGGGGCCACGCCCTTAAAAATAGCTGCCTTTCTCAGGAATCACAAGGATGACCCCACCTTGGACTGCTGGCAGTGGTCCACAGGGTGCCTGGACTGGTCTACTCCAGTGACCGGTCTATCGAATAACCTACCTGTCATCATAGAGCCTTTGTCCAGTGACTGATGGAGGCAGATGCAGAGATCCACAGCCAGGCACCGGGCTGAGCTCTGCGAATCCAATCAAAGAGAGAGTGGAAAGATTCTGCAGGCGGGAGATGTGGAAATCATGATGGGAAGACATGCAGAGATGACCGGCCACACTAGTGGAAGCCCATGAACTGTAGACTAATGGCTGTGGAGCCCCCATGGGACCGGACTAGGCCCTCGGGATATGGAAGATGGTTGTTTGGCTCCAACTGTTTTGGGGAGCACCCAGACAGGGGGATCAGGATCCATCCCTGGTGCATGGGCAGGCTTTTGGGAGTCTGGTGCCTGTGGTGTGATGCTTTGTGCAGCCTTGGTGCAGTGGGGAGGGACTTGGACCTGCCTAGGCTCAGTGTGCCAGGCTCTGCTGACTCCCCATGGGAGACCTTGATTTGGGGGATGTGGGGATGTGGGGTGGCTTGGGAGGGAGGGCTGGAGGGTGGGAGGAGGGAGGAGGGGGAATTTGTGGGTGGTATGTAGAGTGAGTAGAAAATTTCTTAATAAAGAAAAATGAAGCTGGGCAGTGGTGGCGCACACCTTTAATCCCAGCACTCGGGAGGCAGAGGCAGGCGGATCTCTGTGAGTTCGAGGTCAGCCTGGTCTACAAAGTGAGTTCCAGGAAAGGTGCAAAACTGCACAGAGAAATCCTGTCTCAAAAAAAGAAAAAAAAATCTGAAGGGTTGGGGATTTAGCTCAATGGTAGAGGGCTTGCCTAGCAAGCACAAGGCCCTGGGTTCGGTCCTCAGCTCTGAAAAAAAAATAAAGAAAGAAAAATGGAAAAAAAAAAAAGCTGCCTTTCCCTCCCCGAGCAGTCATTAACCGTCACAGCCCCCTCTCTGCCGGAATGCTGACTGGCTTGATCCTGTGTATGTGACCATTTGTGCACAAGACACTTTCCCCAAGGTCCTCCCTGACCCCCGTGACTGGTGATCTTTCCCTCTTCTGTGATGGCCCCCGCCTTGGGGTGAGCGAGTGTGATGTAGATGTACTATTTACGGCTGAGTGCAGCACAGACACGGACTTTCTGCACTTTGACCTCTGTGAGTTTCTATGGAAGCCTTCCCAGAAATCTTAGGGAAAAAAATTTCCCTAGCAAACGTCCGGAATAGATTTTTTTTTTTCTCCTGAAAGAAAGGCCCAGAAGCAACAGTTTTCTCTTTTTCTGCACAGAGGCTCCGTCTAGGTATGATCTCTATGGTGCCATTTGAAAGTGATGCCAACATTAAGAGGTCAAGCAGCCAGAAAAATAAAAAGGAGTCAGACCCCAATAGCATATTCAGACATAAAGCAATCAATTCGAGGGAACTTAAAACTTCCTCTTATATGAGACCATGTAAGTCCTTTCAAACACCTTGTTTTAGACACATTTTGAGTCCAAACTTATTTTTCTTGTAGTCAAAAACATTCTGGTATTTAAAAAAGCCAGTCATCTATAATTTTATGGACAAGCTGTTGATTTTTCACTATTGTTGTTACTGTTACTATTATTTGTGTTTTGGAGACAGGATCTCAGGGAGCCCAGGTTGACCCGAAGCTCACTCTGTAGCCAAGGCTGGTCTTGAACTCCGGGTCCTTCTGCTTCTACCTCTTGAATGCTGGAATTACAGGTGTGTACTACAACATCTGGCTGATTAAATAATACATACATTTCCAGTAAAAAAAAGAAAAGAAAAGAAATGGACTTGGCTCACACACCCATCATGTTGGCTGCTGATTTCTGATATTTTTTTGTAGATATGACACTATTATACTGTGAAGCATGAAGAGAATATCATTCACTTTTACTGGAAGATCTCAGCTGACACGAAAGCCAATCACTCTGGAGTTAGAGCAAGGTCAGCTCTGGGACAGTGACACTCTGGTTGTGCACTGAATAACGCGGCATGACATCCTAGTATGTATTTCAAGAACAGAATCTGGTTATGGGAAGTGTCATAGTTTTGAGTAGAGCTTTAAAGGACATGAGGATTTTGTCAGGTTGACAAGACTTTAGGTAATTTTGTGTCACCTAAATGTTATGTGATTGCAAAGAGTCAGCGCAGCTATAGTATGTATCTATAAAAAAAAAAAAAATGACACTTCTTCCAATTAAAACCCGCACTTCCCAAATAACTTGACTCTATGAGCTACAGATTAGTGAGGACACTGACTTGCTTGGGATTAAGTAGAGGAAAGAGTCTAGCATGTGGTATGAAGAGGAGAATGGTAGAGGAATGATGATGTACTTACCCTAAGAAAGCACAAATTCCCTGATGGTTGACTTCAAGTACTAGAATGGTAGCCACCCACCCAGAGTCTGGTTCTAATGATAGAGCTTATCCTTACGAATATGTAGAGTGGGCTTGTTATTGCCACATCACGGCCCAGCTACATCTGGAGAAGTTGACTGACGCACAATCAGGAGGCCAGGGTCTCTGGATCCTACCTTCTAGTCCCCATCTCTGCCTCACCAGTTCCCCAGGCACACGTAAACTTTTACAACCACCTGGGTGATCTCTGAAGCAGTTTCCTACTTCAGGAAAACAAGCAGGCCAAACAACCCATGGTTTGTCTTTCTGCCTTTTACTTCAGTCCATTCCTAATCTCAGCTTTATTTATGGTTCTGAAGATTTCAAAGAAGAACAGAAAGAAACACACACATTAAATCACACTGACTTATTTGTACCTCACACAGTAAATCCTCTCATGGGATCTAAGTGGGTGAAATCGCCCATGTTCCTGCATCTTCCTGAAATCGGTCCTTGAGTTTGGGAGAAGAATGGGGGCAAGAGGAGCTGCCAGCATCCTCTGAAAGCCAAGACACCAATAAACAACAAGGACTTGAGCCTTAGTTCACATAGGTCCATGTAGACCGAACACCAGACCACACAGCTGTCACTTTCCACAGCCTTCTCTCCACCCACAGGAGAGTGCAAGCAGAATCACAGTGAGATAACATCAGCTTCAACTCCTAGTTCCACAGAAGTCAACACTTTTCAGACACTGCAGACCTCTTGGAGAGAGAGATAGAGCTGGCTTCCATACTCCGTGGCTTTCAAGAAAGAGGTGTGGTCTTCTGTCCGGAGTTCTGGAAAGGATTCCTCCTGTGACTGGAAGTTGGTACTCTAGCCCCTTCCAATGCTGAATTCCTGTAATCCCCCGACCACCAGCCAGTGGTGTGGCTGCTGCTGATCCTGCCATCTCTTTACCTGCTCATGAGTGATCAGCTTGCTTGCAACTGGAAGGTGCACAGGTGTGTATGGCAGTGGGTGGGAATATGATTTGAAACTGCTCATTGTCCTTAGGCAAACTCCTCAGGTAAAACATTTTACATGAAACCCCAAGGGCTTCATTGGACTACATGGACAAAACTGTTGAAAGGAAGGGAGATGAATCACCCCCAAACACCTTTCCCAGAGTTAACTTATAAATGCCCCTGCCACCCCCTTTCTACAGACAAGGAGCTTTTGGATTAAAAAAGTGAGGTGAGGTGTCCAGCGTTCCGATACTAATGACTTCAGCCAGATTGAGCACAGGTTTAAGTTCAGGGCGAAAGAAACTGTATTCTTCGCCTATATGTACATGTAATTTGGGTAGCTCTAAATGCAAGTTTGTAGAATCAACATCTGTACATGAATGATATGAAATTCCAATACATTTTAATTATAAACTCAAGCTAAAAAACTGTTTTGTTCTGCGCTATAAAAATTCAACCTTAACAAGAAAATGAGGCTCAAATACCTGATGTGCATCGTGAACCCAATGATGAAGGCTGAGCCTTCCTGTTCCTCTTGCGCCTCCTGTGTGGAGCCAGCAGTCCAACTGTATTGCTCTGGCGGTCTTGACCTTCCATGTCATCATGGCTAGGGCAAGCAAGGAAGACAGCCACTGATGTAAAGAAAGGCACAGACCTCCATTCCTAGACACTTCCTGACAACGGACCTCTGCTCCAACCATACTATCAATCATTCGGTCATTCATCACTTACATTCTGGATCATATCTTTATTATTATTGTTGTTTTAGTGTTTAATTAAGCATTACGGTTTCATGTAACTGCATTTTCACTCCCCTGCAAGCCTGACAATACCTTTTGGTTTCAAATAGCCCAGGGCCCCAAGGCAGGCCCTGATATTGATTTTTTTTTAATATGGGTGAGTAATACCCACTGTTTTTCTAATATGCTTTTCGCACATGGGATTGTAAAAGTAAACAGTGCTTTTACACCATCTGTTTGAAAGCTGTTAGCTTTTTAAAACACAGGCACTATTTAAATTGTAAATGGCCCTTACCCAGAAGTTATTTTATACATTCACGTTTATAACTGTAAAAATAATATACTTATAGGTTATATTCCAAACCAAATGATACAAACCCGTTTAGGAGAACATGACGTAAAATTATCCCATAAATCCCCATGAAGCCAAATGTTTACAGAAAAGTTACCAGGGAACCCGAAGAGATGTGGATGTAGGTGTGCTCCCTGGCCCTCCCTCGCTCGACACTGCCCACCCTCTGGTCTAGCAGACAGATTCCTTTCTTCAGCTCCCTAGGGCTCTCATTAGGATTCTGGTTCTCAATCACAGTAACCTTTGAAATTAAGCAGTTGAGTTCTTGGGCCACAAATCAATGTGCTTACTTGATGGGATTGGAAGTGACAAAGGAAGATTCTGGGGGCCTGCTGTGGGCTTTCAAGTGTTGTGGTAGAGAGTACCTGAGAGAGGCCATATGTGCTCTGTTTCCTTTGTTGCTGAGGGGAACGGAAGACAGAGAAAGAATGAACTACGAAGACAACAGAGTTGCTGCCCACTCTCCTCTCTAGCTTTAATATCTGAGGCAGAGGGTGACAGGAATCTGTGGAAGATGCAGTTAGGGTCTGGCCTCATAGGGATGAAGGGTTGGGATGCATTTCAGGAATGAGTTTGGGACTCGGAAATCCCAGTTATTTGCATGTCTGTGGCAACGAGGATGGATGACAAATATGGAGAGGAAACACTAGCAGGGGATAGCATAACACACAGAGAACAGACTGTTAAATCATAGTTCGCCTGTAAAACAGAAGGCAAAACCCAAATCGAGGCCCTCAGTCCATGCTCCAGTTACACAAATGCCATTTGATTTTCTAAGAAAGGTATGTTTTAAAACCGAAGCTATGAAATCCAGATGCCGTTTTTCCTATGGATAACTCCCCTCTGTGTGTTTTGGTTTTATCAAGTGAAATGTAAGAAAAGCATTAGTTCCTCTTTGGGACAGGAAGCTGGAAGACAGGCCTGACTGCCCAAGGCTTTGTGCTCTGGAGCTACCTTCCAACAATTTTCTTAACTCGTTATCTCTACACGCTTGATGTGTGTGTGTGTGTGTGTGTGTGTGTGTGTGTGTGTGTGTGTGTGTGTGCACGCGCATGCGTGCGCCATAGCCTGTGTGTGGAGGTCAGCAGACAACCTCAGATCTTCCTTCCACTTTGAGACATGCTCTCTTGTCCTCCCCCTCCACCTTCCCCTAAGCTAGCTGGCTCAGGAACTTTCAGGGATTTTCCTGTCTCCACCCCCAATGGCCTCTGAATTTCAGATGGGCACTACCCTGTCTCTTTTCATGTGGGGACCCACACTCACACCCTCCGGCTTGTGGGAGCCATGCAAGCCCTCTATTCACGAGTCACCTGCTCACTGGCTGGTTCACTTCTTCCCCATGGTTTCCCTGGCTGCAAGGTGTGTGAGAGATGTGTGGTGGTTGATTTACGGGTTTTTAGGAAGTGTGGCATCCATGGTTGTCGAAGTCATGGAGGGAGAAGAGGAGATTGGGGTCCAAGAAGCCAGTCTGGAGGCCAGAATAGCTTCTCCCCAACCATCACACACTGCCCAAACTGGAAGAGACACACTGCCCAAACTGGAAGAGACAAATGGAAAGGAAGAAGACTGATTTGGATTAGAACTGTGTTCTACGATGTCAAAAATCTGTGACAAACTGGCTCTGTCAGCTCCTACTACAGTAACCAAAGTGGCCAACCCTAGGTGCGTATTATTACTCTCTTTCACAAGTACAGTCTTACCGGGCAGTGGTGGTGATGGCTCAGGCCTTTAATCCCAGGCAGAGAGGCACGTGGATCTCTGTGAGTTCCAGGCCAGCCAGGGCCATTACACAGAGAAACCCTGTCTCGAGAAACTAAAACAACAACAACAAACAAACAAACAAACAAAAACAAGTACAGTCTTAACTATGCTTTTGGAGCCAGAAAAAACACTAGTGGAAAAAATCAAAACAATTAATTAAACCACCTTGACTTAAAAACATTGAATGAAGATTTGACAAATGTACTCTTTCTTGGGTTCTTACTACTTGTTTTACACAATGAAATGACTCACGAAATAGTAAATGAAACTATATTTCTTAAATCCAGGTGCAGGGATCCTAGGTAGTGATCAAAACACAGGTTTTAACAACAGGCATTCAAATTTGTTTAAGTTTTCTTGTGATTGTGTTGCATTGAGGAACAGAGTTCCTTCATGGCAGAAACATGATCGGTCCAGAAAGCAAGCTTGTGTCTTCATCCCCTGCTTTCTGTTTCTTATTTAACTTAGTGGCATAGTCAAGAGCATAATTCTCGAAGTCCTAAACCAACAGGCTTGGGAGCGGCACAGTAGGGATGTTGGAAGGGGTGTACTGAACCACACGAAAAACTATAAAATCTCCCACAGGCAGAATCTACTTTGATTTAAGCTAGGTTGAAGAAATTCAGCTCTTGCCTGGGGCAGCAAAGCAAGAGGCTTAATTCAAGTCCTGTAGGGCAGGAGGCAGGTGCCACAGAGACACAGCTTCTGTGGAGGATGGAGATCAGGATGTATCCCTATAAAAACCGAACAACTGGTGTCCAGGGCATCTGGTGGAAAGTGGGAGGCAGGAAGGAGAAAGGCTCAAGCTCCTGGGCATTTAATTTCTGCTAATGTCCATTGGGACACGGCGTTAAGCTTGGAATCTCAAGCCTAGTGAGTCCTGCCTTCATCCTTAAAGAACTCGGCTCAGCAAAGTGGTTTTAACACTCCTTGTGGGTTTTGATAACTTCTATCCTGTGAGTTGCCAAGGCAGAGAGGTGCATCTAATTCCATCCACATTTCTCCAGAGATTGCAAAAACACAGACAGGACGACCAAGAGTGGGAGGGACGGGTGCCAGGCGGGAGCCGCCAGACAGGGCTGTGGTGCATGCCTGCTGGCACAGGCAGCCTAGACCGTCCCCCACGTTGGCACCAAGAGCCCGCGGAGTTCCGTGCCCGGCTCTGAGCCTCGGGACTGACAGCCCAGGGAGGGGTGGAGGTCGGGCTCGGGGCAACAGTGCTCTTAGTGCTCCTAGTCAGCGACGGAGTCGCCCCTGGCGCTCTAGCATTTGCTCCGGAGGCCGACCCTTCGGGTCCCCGTGCGATCCTCCATTCGCCCCCGGGGCCGGGACAGCAGGGCGGCGGCGCGAGCGTGGGAGGGGGCTCCAGGACTCTGCCGGCCCCGCCCCGCCCCCTCCTCGGGGACCCGGAGCCTAGCATGGACCACACTCGGCGCCACAGCCATGGCGCTCGCCCGCTGCGTGCTGGCTGTGATTTTAGGGGCACTGCCCGCGGTGGCCGGGGCTGATCCCGCCTCGCCCTCGCCCCTGCACCGCCCGCCCTCGTCGCTGCACCGCCCGCAAACGTCCCCGCCGCGTCCCCAACACGCGCGCTACCTTCCCAGCCCGCGGCGGCCACCGAGGACCCCGCGCTTCCCGCTCCCGCCAGGGGTACCCGCTGCCCAGCGCTCGCAGGTCCTCACCGCCCGGCACACGCCCCCAGGGCTCCCACGGGGCTGCGGGGCAGGAGAGCTGTGGGGCAACACTACCGACCTCGGCGTCCCGTGTCTGCACTGGGCAAAGGTGCCGCCCTTCTTGGAGCGGTCGCCCCCAGCTAGCTGGGCTGAGCTGCGAGGGCAGCCACACAACTTCTGCCGGAGCCCTGACGGCGCGGGCAGACCTTGGTGCTTCTACCGGAATGCCCAAGGCAAAGTGGACTGGGGCTACTGCGATTGTAGTCAAGGTGAGTGGTGTCCCCGGCGGGCGGAGGTGGCAGCTGGGGACTGGCACGGAGGCAGCCCGGCTCGGGGGACAGTATCTGTGTACCCGGAGACAGGGGGAAGGGGTTGCCGGTTTGCACTGTGGTGTGGCGGTGGGCTGGGTAGCCATATAACTAGCACAGTGCATCCATTTGTACAGTGTGCCAGTCAGTAAAGCATGCATCGTGTGACGATTGTCATGGGGATAGTAGCTGTGAAGGTTGCTCAGCTCTAACCCGTAGAGAAGGTCTGTCCGACCACCGTGTGTGTGTGTGTGTGTGTGTGTGTGTGTGTGTGTGTGTGTGTGTGTGTGTGTGTGTGTGTGTGTATTCATCTACCCACAATACACACACATTGGCAGAATTATGCATGGTAGTGGGTGTCTGTTGTCTTGTATCAGCTGGTCTTGATAAGGCGCTCTGTATACAAAAAAAAAAGTAAAGAAATACATACATTTGCTAACCACTAGTTTGCGAAAGGGAAGAATTAAATGTAAGATGTGTCCCGGCAAACTTTCTTACCTCTATAGACCCGGATTTGGAAAGCCGTGGTGAAATGTTTGCCTCGCTGCCATTGTTGACTTTAAAGCATGACAAAATTTTCAGGCCCAAATACAAAGACAGTTATGTTCTGGGGCTCCGTATGGTAAATACCACCAGGGAATGAAGAACAAAGGAAAGAAAGGGGCAGAACAGGAACTGCCTTAGTAGCTAAGGAGGCAGCTAGAGTCAAATGAAATCTTCAGCAAAACCATTCCTTCAGCTGTGAGTGTCACTTCTGGAAAATCGGAATTAAGAGTCAACTTCAGCAAAGAAGGTTCCTAGTGTATCTTAGGTTTGTGGTAGCCAAAGTATCACATCCATAACTTGAATGCAAATAATAATCTACCTTCACACAGTACTTTACTCCGAAATTAATTTCCTTGTAATTAATATTGAGGTTTTAACTTTTCTCATGCAACAACTGTGAAAGGAAAAAAAATTGACTCTCTCCTAGTAGAACGAAACTTTGGCTGTTTTCAATGACACTCTATGATAGGAGTTTCATAGATTTCCTGAAGTGTGTGCTTCCAGCCTTTGGAGGTAACCTTCCCCAATGTCATTCCTTTTTCACAGACAGTTTATTTATCTCCGCCTTCAATTGAGTTAGTGCTTCAAGTTAAAGGAAAGTGATACAAAGGTTAAGATCAATTATTCCTCATCCTGGAGAATGAAGTCATCGCTGTACTCATAATTCATGGACAGAATGCCAATGTGGCTGTAAAAAAAATCAAGATGATGTCAAGCATAGAGCTCTGCTGTTACCTCATTTACTCTAAGATCATTTTAATAAAGTCTTGTGTCTAGCAACAGCATTGGCAGCTTTTTATTATTATACTTAGTTTTATAACTAGACATGATAGAGAATTATTAGGAAATTAATAGGTAATAAACTATAGGCTGTTTTCCCTTCAAAACATAGTAAAAAGGAATTCAAAGTTAAAATATTGTGGTGATCTACTTCTCCTTTCAAATGCACAAGTAACTTTCAGTTTTATAGTCTTAGTGAAGAGAATAGTTTATCTTTGAATTCCCCACCACCCTCTCTTTGGAGAGAAATTAAAAAAAAATTTCAGTGCCTCTAGGTTCAGAGCTAGTGTTTAGCAGCCAAAAATCTCAAATGTGGTCGCGTTTAGGTAACAAAATATAAGAGAAACAGAAGAAGCTACCCATGATGAGCAACAGACACAAGGAAGAGATTGGCTATGTAATACCCGAATTACTCTTACAGGACCCAACCCTGATAACTAAAGCCTTGGGCTCTGTCACTCACTCCTGCAAGTCTGGATAGCTATACTCCATGCTTCTGAGACCTCTGGCATACTCTGAATCGTATAGTGTTCTTATTCCCACACATTTCAGTTGGGAGTTTGGATAAGAATACTATATAGTAATGAAAGAATGTTGAATTGTTCTTTAGAAAACATTGATGTTGTTTTGACACAGCAATGTTGGATAAGACTCCTAACTGTTAGAGCTTTGGGTTTCTCCATATAAAGAAAAACAGGGTGTTTAAAAAAAGAAAAGATTCTTTGTTTATTTGTATGTATGTATGTATGTATGTCTTGTCTCTAAGTATGCACATGTGTGTGTGGTGTGTGTGTGTGTGAGTGTGTGAGTGTGTGAGTGTTCATACACTTGTGTGCTCTCCATACCTCATGTGCCCTTCATTTAAATCCCAGAAGAAGGGAACTGGATGGCCTCTTCTACCACTCTCTACCTCTTCTTTTGACATGAGGTCTCTCCCTGAGATCTCCTCTTGTCTTTGACCTCCTCAGAGCTGCTGTTAAAGACACCAGCAGCAGGATGTCCCACTTGTTTGTTATGTGGGAGCTGGGATCCAGATTGCAGCCATCACGATTACATAGTCAGCACTCTTTGCTGCTGAGGCATCTCTCCAGCCCCAGAAAATCAGTTTTTAAGCAAATTAATTAAGAGAATTTTTCAAGCTCTGGGCATGTACTCAGAATGACCTTGTCTATTTATTACAGTTAGGACTTATGGAACACCCACTCTGTGCTGGGTGCTGGACTAAGAATTTGATGTTTGTTTTATTTATTTTTCATAGTCATCTTTATAAAGGAGCCCCTACATTTTCCTGTTGGAAAATCCTAAAAGAAGATTGCCAGGAAAGCAGAAAAAAAATATGATAGGATGTGCACATAGATGTGTGCATTTTCATTTCACAGCCCATTTTGCTCCATTTCTTTATTGGTATGCAATGTAGAAACCTCTGTGCTGTGTTGCAATACTCACTTGTTAGCTCATAGGCTAGTCTAAGGGCAGAAAGAAGGAAGAGTAATTATGTTTAGTATAAGTACAATGCACATTATTTCCAGGATCTTATGCTTTAAAGGTATTTTTTTTTCCTTTACAGAAAACTGGAGCAAAAGAAAAGACTAAAATATAGAAATGTGATCCCTCCTTTAAAGCTTAAACTGGGGTCAGAGTAGAGTTTCAAGTCCCATACAGAGAAGTGAGGAAGTAGGGCCCTCCTGCATGATGCAGAAGGAACAGGGTGGACATTTCAGGTGAGCGGAATGTGAACAATCCATTAGCTCATGTATCAGAGCAGGAAATGTAATGCTTTGGCCCTGGCTCCAAGAAACTTACCTATTAGTAATAAAAGATCTTTCTGGGGATTGGGATACCCAAATCAGTCCAGGAGTTAGTTCTCACAGGGAACATTAAACTTTACCTAGAGAGGACTGGTACAATGATTCAGCAGGTAAAGCTATTTGCCATTGAGTCTGATGACCCGAGTTTGATCCCTGGGACTCACATGATGTAAGGAGAAAACTGACTCCTTCAAGTTGTCTTTAAGCTTCCCCATGTGTAACATGGCATATGCTCCTCTCTTAGTCACTGTTCTACTGCTGTGAAGGAACACCATGACCTAAGCAATTCTTATAAAAGAGAGCATTTAATTGTGGGCTTGCTTACAGTTTCAGAGGTTAGCCCATTATCATCCTGGTGGGGAATGGAGGCAGGCAGACATGCTGCTGGAGAAGTAGCTGAGAGTTCTACATCCTGATCTGTAGGCAAATGAGAGAGAGAGAGAGAGAGAGAGAGAGAGAGAGAGAGAGAGAGAGAGAGATTGATTCTGGGTTTGGCATGAGCTTTCGAAACCTCAAAGCCAGTGGCACACTTCAATGGCACTTCAGTGGCACACAACAATGTCACACTTTTTATTCTTTCTGATTCTTTCAAATAGTGCCAC